TTGTGTACAGTGAAATATAAAAGGGAGGTCATACTTGTGGGTTTACTTTATCGGAAACTAGAACTATTTCTGGTGGCTGTGATGTGTCCCGGAGTCAGCTTCCTGAGAAAAGAATTTAACATTGCCATCACAAGTGATTGGCTAAGGAGCCTGGTGACAACAGCTACGTGCTGGGCTGCTAACCAAAAGCTTAGCAGCTCAGACCCACCAGCAGCTCCATGGGAGAACGATTTGGGAATCTGCTTTCTGCTTTCCTAAAGATTACAGCCAAGAAAACCCTGTGAGGTAATTCTACTTTGTCCCTTGACAGGACAGCCACCCTGAACTAAGTCCTGTGGCTCTCATGGCATGCTCACGCCCCCTGCTGGCCGATCTGTGAACTCACAGTGTAAAAATTAGATTTTTTAAAAATCTGGTTTACTCTTCCTGCAAATTACTACCGTTTTACCAGCCTGCCCTTTAATCCCTAAACGTTCAGGTAGTAAACGAAGTGAAACGAGAACTCCCATGCCATCCCTAGTATTTGGAATGTAAAAACCAAAAGGTTTAATATCCCAAAGACTTGAAAGCAGACATTCAGAGACTTGTACAGCAACGTTCGTTGCAACACTGTTCACGATAGTCAGCAGGTGAAAACAATCTCAATGCCCTTGGCCAGATGAAAGGATGAACCAAATATGGTGCGTTACATATAGTGGAATTCTACCAGCAGGAGAAAGATGTCTTGATGCATGCTGCAGTATGGATAGAGCTTAAAGACATGCTGTCAGTGAAATAAGTCAAGTCACAAAAGGACAGACATCATATGCCCTTACATAAAAAGACAAGAAATAGCAAATGTGTAGGAAACAAAGGGGCAGGAAGGCGTCAGGGAGAAGGGACTGATAGAAATGTGGTGTTAATTAAGAGTAGCTTCTACAACCAATTATTGCTGTCAACAAGTTGTATACGTATGAAAAGTTAAATTGGCAAAAGTTGTGTTAAATATCTACAATAATGAACCCCACACCCCAACAAAACCCCAAAATGGTAGCTGTTGAAACTACTTGTATACACCCAAATACCTCATAAGATTTGGTTTCTTGGTTTGGAGGTCATGGTTCTAGGGACAGCCTAGTTAGCTGACTGAATAATATGTTCAGTACTTCTGTTCTACCTCCTAATTTGTGCGTAGTGCTTGGGATCTTAAAAGCTTGCAAGCAGATACCCAAGGTCCAACAGTTGGCCTCTTCTCACCTGGAGCAAGAGGAAGAAGAAGTGAGCCCGGAATAGGAGGAGGCTATAGCGTGTTTGTCTAAGGAGCTCTGGTAGTATAGTGTTTAGGAATAGGGCTGCTAACCTCAGGGTCAGCAGTTCGAAACTACCAGCTGTTCCACTGGAGAAAGATGAGGCTTTCTGCTACCCATAAAGATTTATAGCCTCGGAAACCCTGTGCAGGGTTGCTATGAGTTGGAACTGACTCCATGGCACATCAGTACAACGTAGAGTATTTGTCTAACTGCCTCCATGAACGACCACCTCCTTTGCCAGGAGACCAGAAGAGCTGGATGGTGCCCAGCAACCATCACTGAACATTTTAACCACAGATTCCATCGAAGGATCCTGATCAAAAGAGGGGGAACTGAAGAATAGAAATTCAAATCCTCATGGACTCAGAGTTCCTGGAGCCATGAAGGGTGGTTGATCTCCTGAAACTACTGCCATGAAAACCTTAAACCAAACATATCTTCTGGAGTCTTCTTAAAAGCTAATAGTAATTTAGTTTCACTAGTAAAAAATGCTGGCCTTGAGCATAATGCTCTTTCAAGAACTCGATCTATAGGATCAAACTCATCCCAGAAACTTGAAAGATTAGATGAACACCTTAGGGGGCAGTGAGTTTCTGTTAGTGCACACCTCAAAGGATGTGATCCATGATGCTAAATGGGACCCGGAGACACTGTGTCCCATGTAGGGGTGTGTCCTGCTACTGTATAGTCTCAGCAATAACAAAATAAATAAAGCATACATGTGAAAGTTCTCAATGGCCCTAAATTATTGTGTTTAAGCATGTTTTTGAAAATAAGATTTCAAACTTCAATTTACTGTAAACAAGTGAGGGTTGGAAAAGCTGTTCCAGCCATAAGATCCAAAGCACTTGAGTCGTGAAGTCCAGCACACAGCACACGGGTGGGAAAGACCCTTGAACAACATGGGGTGTACGGCTCCAGCCTCCCACGCAGTGGAAACTCCAGGTGGAATTTGCCATTGATCTATGACCTGCACAGGCCCCCCGGTCACACGGTGGGTTTTTTCCCTGTTGCTATTGCCCATGGTGAGCTCACGTGTCCACTTAAAACTCCATGTGACACAGATTATCTTGCAAATTATCTTGCAAGCTTGAGTTCTCTGCAACAGGAAGAAAAACGCCTGCAGTTCAAACCCGTGTTCAAGGTTCAGCTGTACTTAGTTTATTTACCTTCTCCTAACTTCACCTCTCAGCTCTGTCATTTTGAGAATAACGGTAGGCCTTGCCAGCAGGTGTTTGAGGTTCCCACCAGTCATGAAATTGAGAAATCTGCAGGAAAGAACCCCAGGGAGTATGAAACAATTAGAACATTCAGAATGAAGATTTGTTTCATTTCTCCACTGTAGTCTCAGAGTGTTGTTTTTATAGTTTTGTTTCTTTTAGATGTGTTCTTTCTACATTCAGTCCACCCATCCATTTGGGCAATAGGAACTTCGGCATTGCCATGGCCCAGCTGGCAGAGCCATCGACCCCTTGGGAGCCACCGTGTCCCCAACATGTACCAAACCCACCTGCCTGCTCTGTGTGGCTGTCACCCCATGTGGGAGCAGCCCGGTTCTGAGCCTGTCAGCGTATGGCTGCGTCCATCCCTACCAGATGTTGGTCTTCACTGGGCCGGCCCTCCTCATTGGTGTTCAGGTAGATTGACTTCCACAGAGGACGCTCACCCTGAGAGCTTCTCATCGCCCTTTGTTTTGTTTCTAAACATGTCTACATTTGTGATGGATACTGGTTGGCTTCTGGAGTCTGTGAGTGGGTGAATGGTCAACGTACCAGACTGTTGAGTGAAGAGATGGAGGTACAGGTTCGTTCAGAAGAAGTGGTTCAGGAAAAATCAGCCACTGAAAGCCCCGTGGAGCAAGGTTCTGCTCAGACACAGGTGGCCTTACTATGAGTTGGAGTGGACTCTGGTTCTGTTTGGCTTCCATGAAGATTTGACAACAGAGGTGAGAGGGGCTCTCACCTGTGTTAGTCCTGCCCCACCGAGGGGTCATTCTATCCAGTGCCTCTGAGGGGTGCACAGAGACTCTAGAACGGTGAGGAAAGTCAACAGTGTTGATTTCAGTTTCTCTTAAACAACGGTATTTGGTTACAACCAGCCAGCAAACACCGAATCCCTTACATATGCCTGGTACATGCTAGTTACGAGAACAGAAAGGCGAGCCAACATGCACCTGTCCTCACGATCTCAGAGGTTATGGGAGAGACCTACATGTCAGGTGGTGCCTCGGTGGTTTTTCAGGGGCTAGACCCCCATTCAGAGTGATGTAGTTCACAGCTCCATGGTGTGAGAGGGCTTCAATGAGCACATCGCATTTGTCTTGCCCTTAGAGGGCCTCGAGATGTGGGAAGGCCCGTGGGAACAGTTGTGTGAGGGAGGTGGAGGCTGTGTCTGGGTGGTTGGCATGAAGGGTGGCAGGGAGTTCCATGGGCCCACAGCTGGCATGGTGGGCTGGGATAAAGTTGGGCCAAGCTGAAACACTAGGATTCGTCCTGAAAGTCTGTGTAGATACTTCTGTTTATTTTATTCTGAAAGACGAGTCACAAAGAAAATAGGATAAAATGTAGGCCACCCAGTTCAATGTGAATTCCAAGTAAATAGTACCCATCTATCCCAGGCATTGCATGAGACAGAGTTACACTGAAAATTGTTGTTGATTGCATTCAAATTTAACTTGTTTGTTTTTGTTAAATGCCATCGAGTCGGTTCAGACCCATAGTGACCCTGTATAGGGTTTCTATGGAGCAGCTGGTAAGCTTGAACTGCCGACTCTGTGGTTCAAGCTGACATTACAGTCTGGCACATTAACCCACAGCGCCACACCAGGACTCCCAAATTGCACTATGTGTCCCCATAGAGCAGAATGTATGACTTTACTAAGTGTTACCCCTGGATTCCTTGTGGGAATGATTTATGTGGTTGTCTTCACTTAAAAAAAAAAACACAAATTCTAGAGAATTTTGAATTGGCCCATTTTCCTCTGTAGAATTCCCTATACCTGGTAGAGAGGGTCCTCTCATTTTGGTGCAAAGTGTGACATTGATTTATATCACAGGATAGAAATGAAATTCTAATAAAAAGACTTCAGGACTTGGGGAGGAGACAGCTGGAGAATCTGGTACTATGGGTTTTTCTTCCTTCATCTCCTTGTCCTCTCCCCATTCAAAGATGGGCAGTCTAGAGAGGAAGAGGAAGGCAAAGTCCCATCCTTTTCTCTGGGGATGCTTCAGAGCAGTGTGGTTACACAGAAGCATTAGAGCTGCCGTATCTGCACCCTTTCACGACTTTGGGAACCACAGCAGGAAAGACACTTGGATTCCTGGAAATCACTATGACTCATGGCCACTTTGGTTATCTGTGGGCAGCGATCTAATCGCTTTCCCTTCCAAAGGACTGGTCTTATTGTGGCTCCCCGGTGTGGGCCCTGTGGGCGCTCAGTCATGCTGGCAGGATCCTTTGTGGGAGCATGTGAGTCCTAGGCCGGCTACCTCGCTGCCTCTCACTCCACCACTCCCAGCCTGGCATAGGACCCCTTTCCTGGTCATGGGGCATGGGCCCCAGCACAGATGTAAAGTACGCACTGGGTAGTTGAAACTTCTGTGAGGTTGAGAGCAGGAATTTTCTGCTAAGGCTTTAACTGCCTCCCTTGCCATGGATGGTGAGTGCACTTGGTTCCCTTCTCTGACTTTGAGCATCCTGTCCCCACCCCAGGACTGGTTGCCATAAAGGATGCCCATGATATTGAGACGAGGCTTAATGAGGTGGAGAAGCTTCTCAAGGCGGTCATCAGCATGCCGTGTAAAGTGAGTATGAGCCGGCCTGGCCCAGGGGTGGGAGATGCCCTGTCATCTTGACGAGTAGTTGGCCTGCCCTCCTCTTCTCCGCCTCTGCTCCCTCCCTGTAATTACCGGGGAAGCTCTAAATAAAAAGGGACTTGGGGCCTTATCTCTGCTCAGGGCCCCCTTGCTGAGGAAGGTAGAACAGGTGCGTGAAAGCCACAGTGTGGGCACAACCCCAGTGTGTGAGGTTGCGATGGATCTCCCTCCAGCTGCCTTTGAGATGAAGTGTGTGTGCTTGTGTTGAATCGTGATCAAGAAGCTGGACTGGAGTGATAGGCAGAGAGATCTTCTTCTGGGGAGGAAAAGCCACACTCACATTCATGGAAAAGACAAAGGGAGGGAAACTGTGTGGAGACAGCACATCCTGCCCGAGGCCTTCCATAGACAGAAAGGGTGGGAAACCTGGGTCCTCCTCTGTGCATACAGCGCCACCTTGTGGGGAGTAGTTACTTGTGGTAATGGAAATGCATTTCTTCTAGTACTCCAGGTCAGAAGTTGTGCTTACCTTCTTTGAAAGATCCCCTCTGGACCAAGTATTAAAAAATGACAATGTCCACAAAATTCAGCCAAGCTTTCAAAGTCCAGTCAAAATATCAGGTAAGAGCTGCAGTGGCTGAAGGTACTGTCTTGGGAGGCTAGGAGTTCCCAGAAACTAATCTAGCTTGTTGTCTCTGTGATGGCCCATATCTGCTCTTGGGTTCCAGGAAAACGATGAAATGAAATATGGATTTAGTGGTTGAGAGACTAGATACCTGTCCTGGTGAATTCCATCCATTCCTGGAAGCCCCGGGCCACATACACACACACACAAGTCCTTTGGTGCCTTCTTGTTTTCTCACGTGACATTAGAGAAGGGCATGGCAGGGCCTGGCAGCTGTTGAGGGCTCTGTTGAGACTCCCAAGGCCTTGTCTTCTCTTTTCAGGAGTTATAGTCTGAAGGTCCACTAGATGGCACTATGTGTCAACTGATGAACTGGTATCAAACAAAGCCTTTCAGCGCCATGGGACTGTGTCAGGAACTGAACCGTTGGGAAAACTGTGGCCTTCGGTTTATGGTTTGGACTAGTGCAACCTTTAACATGATTTGCACATTGTTAACCTGAATGCTCATAAATCTGAGGAAACAAAAGTTAAATGTCTCCTCCATGGTGGTCTATGTCTGTGTTAACTGTAGTCTTTGTCAGGCTATTAGAATTAAGCATCTTTGGACACAAATCTGTTTGGGGGGACCTGGAAGTGAATTTTCATTTTGTTTTTCATGAGTCAGGCAGTTGTCGAGTCTCAACTTTGATTTGTGCTCTTCAGGGACAGCCTGTTAATAATAGGAATGGTTTTGGGTTTTGTCGTGTCCCTGGAGTGCACTGGCAGTATAGCAGGGGAGAAGATTGGAAAGCGAGGAAAGCTGCACTGTGAATCCTTTGAGGACTGAGAATAAAGGTTTGCTTAATACCATAGTTGTCAAGTGCCGTCAGGTTTGTTCTGATTCATAGTGACCTGTATAGGGTTTCCAAGGAGCAGCTGGTGGGTTTGAACCACCGATCTTGTGAATCCAAATCCAGTGCTACTCCTACATCACCACACCAGTGGACATGTGAATTGATGAGGTGAAGGAGAGGATCGCATAAGGAACACACAGAAATGTAGCTACAGTTAAAGCAGGGGAAAATGCTATTAGGAAAATACTACAGGGATTATGACAGATGCTAAGATTTGCAGATGAAAGTTTGAGAAGAAACAGGTTAGCATATTCTTAAGTGTATCTGCTCCAAGATATTTATTAACCACACAGACCCAGAGTGCAGAAAACGTCTTAGCTAAGTGATCGAGGCCAGCACCCCAATAATAAGACCAACGTGATACTGACATCACCCTAAATGCAGCATTTATTTGATGACTTGTTAAAAAGTCCTAGAAAGCTGCATAAAGGAGCCGTTGCCTGAAGATGACAAAGAAGAACACTCAGCTGTAACCGAGGCTGAGATGTGATGCACTGAGGAGGACTCTGCAGCAGTGTCTGCCATATTCTTGCCCCCAGATCCATAACCTTGTTGTGATCCCAAGAAAGTGTCAGACAAACCCACCCTGAGTCAGGGTCATTCAGTAAAGAAGCTGACCGGTCCTCGTCGAAGGGAGTTCTTGGGTGGTATACATAGCGTATTTGGTTGCTAACTGAAAGATTAGAGATTCAAGTCCACCCACAGGTACTTCCCAAGAAGCCCTTAAAAACCCTATGGGCACAGGCCCACACAGCATTGGTTTGAAGATTATTTAGCATTATAATCATAACTCAAATGATTGAACTGATGATTTAAAAGTAATACAATTCATGACAAGTGTTTTACAAAAGCTCTGTGGAGCACAGTTCTCTTGATACACACGGGTTGCCATGAGACAGAATCTACTCAAAGGCGTGGCGATATTGTGTGTACATGGACGAGAGTGGGAGAGACTACCAAGTCTGGCAAGATTATTTGCTTAAAACTGGTTGTTGTTGTTAAGTTTGTCATTGAGTCGGTTCCAACCAATAGCGACCCTGTATAGGGTTTCTGAGGAGTGGCTGGTGAGCTAGAACCGCCGACCTTGCAGTTCAAATGACTTTTCAGTCCAGTGCATTAACCCGTAGCGCCACACCAGGACTCCAAAACTGGTGGTCCATACTCATAATTAGAGGCTTGCTAGAACTCAAAGTGTTTTGTTCTGTTAACCTTGACAACTGCTAATCTGTACAGCTTTGTTAGGAATTGCTTTTCTTTTTTAAGTGACCAAACTGTCTCAGAATGTGTAGCACAGGTACATTCAAGCCATATACCAGCAACTAGATTTTATATAAGCCTGTAAGACAGTCTGTACTTCATGATGTGTATTATAAGACAAGCTGGTTTTCTATAAACGATCCGTTTCTAAATCTGAGTTACAAAGGAGTCTGAACATTGGAATGTTGACCCCAGCCCCCTGCTACAAAACCTGGCCTACCCCACAGTTAGGTGGCTGACCACCCATAACTGAACTGGCCTTCAGAAAGTAGCAGGTGGACCCCAGGGCTCATCTTTAGTGGAACTCACCTCGAGGCCCAGCTGCCTTTGCAGACAGTTGCTGCCTCATGTACTGTGGCTGTGTTCTCACAGGCAGTTAAGGGTTAATTTACTTTCATTTGGGGCTGGTAAAGATGCCATTATCCAGAGCTCCAAAGGCAACATTTAAGGAAGATTAGTTCCGATGGGAAGTAATTTCTCAGAACTTTGTTCAGAAACATTTTGCAGCAGCAGTATTTTAAACTTGTACGGAGTTTCCTCCCAAATTCCCTTGGTAAAGAAAGGGTGGGAGGAAGGGGGCAGGGGTTGGAGCAGGCTGTGCTGAGGTGGGTCAGAAGCTGTGTGTGTTTCCTGAGACAGACAGATCCAGAAGGTTCCAAGCACCAACTCTAAATTGGTTTTCACTTCTCCTCCTCAAGAGTTGCTGAGCCCCAAATGCAATGTCATACCTGCTGTTTCTAGCCCAGGAAGGCTGGGCAGCGCTAAGCTCAAGCTGGGCAGCGCTAAGCTCAAGGAGAAGGGCAGGGTGAGCTGGTACTGATGCCATGTATGGGAGTGACTACCCGGGGTAGGGAGAAACGTGATCCATGAAATGTGAGCTGTCTCTTCTTCAAGTGGAAATTTCAAGAACTACCTGCCAAATCTGATTACTGAGTAGGCTGACTTACCTGACTAGGCCTTACCTGCCGGCAAACGGGAAAGCCGTTCTCTTTCTGTCTTCAGTTTTGTGTTGTTGGTCTAGCTCTCTTCATAAGGAGAGAAGTTCAAAGAACTGAGAACCAAATACCTGGGAAAAGAACCAAATTCCTGTAACATTAGTAGGAAGTAATGGCTTCACTTTCTAAAATGCAGATCCACCATGGGAATAAAGTAGTTCAAATTCTGGCAAAGTGTAAAAAAAAATGTAAAGACAGTTGGCTGAATAAGAAAGCCATCAGTAAACTGAGCAGCCAGCTAGGTCCTCACTGGTCTGCACCATGCTGGCCAAGAGGAAGGCTGTTTTGAACTCTGGTTTCTGTGTGCTCGGCCCTGATAGGGAGATGATAACTCATTAGACAAAGCACCTGGAGTTTGGATGATGTTTTTGGATGTCTGTACAGACGATGGGAATGGTGAGTGTGGCACTCAGCTGACTGAGGACTGAGTTGGGGGGCGCTGCTCACGGAGGATCCTCACTACAAGGAGGAGAGCTCTTCCTGGCTGATAGGTCTCCTCACATGACCATGCTGACCCCATTGGAACAGAAGTAAGGGCATCAGATCTGGAAAGGGTGCAGAAACGTTCCTCCTTGGAGGGGGGAAGGCAGGCACCCTCGCTGCTTTGACCAGATGATGTAATGAACTCCCGGTTTTTTGAGTTGGAGGAATGTCAGATGTTTTAATGTACAGTTTTTAATGCTTCAGTTGAGGAAACTGAGCCCCAAGGCTGTGAAACTCGCTGTTGGACTTGGCCTGCAGTGTCTGAGCTCTCTCCTGGTGGTCCAGCTGCCCCCCACCCACCATCCTCCACTCCCTGCTCTTGAGACCCTGTCCTCAGGTGCTGACAGCCGACAGCCACTGTGGATACTACAAGTTGTTCCTATTGCTGGCCTTTCTAAAATTATCAAAATGTGTACTTGTCAGAAAATCAATTCATATACAGAATTACATCAAGCAAAAGAGTGACAGCTACTTATTTGGGGTAAAATACACATTTATTCATTTGATCTCACAGCAGACCAAGGAGGTGATGTCATCATCCCCATCTTAGACGCAGGCCAGAGATCAGAGACACCCGACCAGTGTGTGAGGGCCTGGGGTGCAGACCTGGGGTACAGTGTGTGAGGGCTGGGGTACAGTGTGTGAGGGCCTGGGGTACAGACCCAGAGTACAGTGTGTGAGGGCCTGGGGTACAGACCCGGGGTACAGTGTGTGATGGCCTGGGGTACAGACCCAGAGTACAGTGTGTGAGGACCCGGGGTATAGTGTGTGAGGGCCTGGGGTACAGACCCAGAGTACAGTGTGTGAGGACCCGGGGTATAGTGTGTGAGGGCCTGGGGTACAGTGTGTGAGGACCCGGGGTACAGTGTGTGAGGGCCTGGGATACAGACCCGGGGTACAGTGTGTGATGGCCTGGCATGCAGACCTGGGGTACGGTGTGAGGACCTGGGGTACAGTGTGTGAGAGTCCAGGCAGCCCCAGCCTCTCTGGGATGGCTGGTCTCTGGGCAGATGTCTCCAGGCCTGCCTGACGTTGTTCCTGAATGGGTCTCTGGGTGCAGAGCATGCAGAGCATTCTCATTGTGTGGGTGAAGGGAAGCCGGAGAGATTGGTGGAAATACTGTCAGTAATTCTACAGAAAGGCCCAACCTTCAGAACCTCAGACGCAAACCCTTTCTTGCTTTGGTTTTCAGAAATCATGAGGTCCAATGGCTTCTGTTTAGCAAATACCGAGACCATCGTCATTGACCACAGCATACCAAATGGGAACCAGCAGCACCTGGACGCGGACTCGGCCGAGCACTTGTACGTACCTCAGTGCTGGTGTGGCGGGAGCTGGACATGCACCCTCAGGAGCTTAGCGCTCGTGGTCTGGAGGCAGGAAGTAGCTATGTGAGCATCCCTGCCCACATCCAGCCAAATGGGAAGTGGAGCTGCTTGCTTCCAGGAGGCCTGTGGGAATTGTGTGAGGTCTCAGGGTCTGGCCTACACTGGGCCCAAGGTCGCATCATCACTTTGTCCAGGCCTGGCCACTGCAGAGGGAGCAGTGTGAGGACAGACATGTAGGGCTGCACCGGCTGCATTTCTTGGGGAAACAATGCAGGGTCCTGGTAACAGAGAGGTCAGGGAATGGTTATGTGCGGGGCAGCAGGTGTTCTCTTGGACTGCCAGAGCTCGTTGGCAAGCCTTGCCTTTGCACCCCCAGCACAGTGATTTGGGATTTTGAGGTCAGGGGCGGTATGTGTCTGGCTGACTACGTCATGGATTCATGATCTGTAGGCAGGCATGAGATTAGTTAGTGAGTGGAGGAAGGTACTTGGAACAGTTACCACCACCCTGTGTCCTAGTGCAGATCGCCAGAGACCCCTTCTGTCCCATAGTTCTCTCTGGGGCCCCTGTCTGTCTGTTTGGGCCGAGGTCAGAGAAGCACAAGGGGAAGGAAGCGGAGTTTAAGGGCTTTGGGTGGTGGGCAATGTTGCACCAACGGGAACTGTCAGACAAAACAGCATCTTTGGGCGGCTGCAGGACTCCTGGGGGCCTTGCAGACTGCAGCCCCATTTCCAGAGTCTGCCCAGGTGGGGACCCTCAGGAGCCGTCCCTCAGGAGCACTGTCTTTGGCACATGTCTTGGGGCTGCCAGGTAGGTGAGGATGGTTGACGTGGAGTAATGAGGCCGCACCTCGCAGGCCTCAGCTGGCCCCAGTGGCCGTGAAGCGAGACTGGGCAACTCTGAGGCTGTGAGCTGTGTAGTGTCAGGCCTGCTGCAGACATCAGGGCAGGGTGGGCCCAGTGCCCCCACACAGGACCTACTGTAATTGGGAGGTGAGTGTGCCCTGGGATGAGTGGGGTCCAGGGGGCTGAAGGTGCTGCCAGGCCAGAAGTTGGCCCCTCAGACGCCACCCTCACACACATTCCCAGTAGATGGAGGAGGTGAGGCTGGTGGGGTTGCTGTCTCTTCCCGCCACCCCCAGTGTCTTGTCACTGTGATCCGGGGTCTCAGGGCAGACTGTGCCTCTAGGCATCCACACTTCTTCACGCCTGCTTCTCCTGACATTGGTTTGACAAGAAAATTTAATATCCTACCAGGAAAAAGGCCTTGTCCCCAAGAGATGTGATGCCTCCAAGGATGACCTCCGTTTGTCCACAATAGCGCACTTTCTGCAGCAGCCTGGGTCCCAGGGCCTGGCTGCATGGGGGCAGGGGTGGGAGGGTGTCAGGGGACTGCGGAGCGCCCCATCCCCACTGCTCACACCCCCAGCCTCAAATATACTGCACCTCACTGTGGAATCTGAAGAGAAATCCACTCTGAGACCCTTTGTATTCAAACACTTGAAAGTTTTCGTCACCTTCTTTTTATCATTTCATTTCCTACTGGGACTCTAGATGAAGCCTGTCCCAGAACAGCGTGCCAGCTATGCAGGCATATTCCGGTCAGCTCGTGTGGTCACTCCAGCTGTCTGCTGGTCCATGACTTCTCCAGGCACTGGGAAACACACAAAGGGAGGGTGGTGAGCTTCAAGGATCCTGCATCCTCCCCTGACTGCCGAGGGGTGCAGCCTGCCCCTGCCCACCCTCCACACCCTACTGGGTATGGACTGAGTCTGAGGTAGAAGTTCAAAGTGTACCTCTAGGCTACCTTCTAGTGGCGGGGAGGGGGCGAATGGGTTGCCTTTTGTGCTGTCGTTCTCTGATGTAAGAGACCACATCCAGATGGGATATGGGGTAGAAATGGCTTTAGTTCATAAGGGACTCAATACTAGAAGATATCCACATCACTTTATATTTTGGGCACATATCCTTAGGGCATTTTTCCTCATTGTCCCTCCTTCAGAACCTGATCCCCTCACCAGCCTGAGTGGTAGACAGCCTTCCCTGTCACTCACTCACTGCCCAGACCACCGTCCTGCTTCCTGGGGCCCCTAGTCATGGAGTACTGGCCCCAAGTACACAGTGAGGTTGGGAGCACACAACCGATTCTTGGTCATGCTTGTTCCTGCCAGCAGTGCCTGGCACTCAGCAGCCCCCTGTGTCCTGGGGACAGGCCCTGCCTGCTGGGTCCAGGCTGTGTCTGGAGAGCCCTGGACAGTGCTGGGCATAGAGTAGTCCCCAGGGAGAGAGAACAATCATGCCACCAGTGACTGTGAGTGAATGAATGGAGGCCTCAGGAAATGGTGGGGAAACAAACGTACTCAGCAGTTTGAAGCTGAAAACCAGAAACTGGAACCGTCTTTGCAGTAGGGTTTGTTTCCACTGATTCATTCATTTATGGCCATGGCTGTTTCCACACTTCCTGAAAAGATCATTGTCTGCGGGCCCAGCGAGAGCTGTGCCTTCTGAAAGGTGTGCAGTGGGTAAAGCCACTATGGAGTGTTTGCAGGGGTCTGCCTCCTCCCCCCTCGCTAGGGGTCTGTGAGCCAGCCCTCAGCCCCACCCTTTGTCATTTCAGGTTTGAGAATGGCGGCGAGTTTACCTCAGAGCTGGAGGGTGATGAGGACCCAGCAGCCTATGTCACCAACCTGTCCTATTACCACCTGGTGCCCTTCGAGACGGACATCCTGGACTGAGAGCCTGCATTGCTGCTCTGCTGCTGTCTCTCCGTGCTGAATCCCGGCGCCGAACGCTGCTCCTCAGAACTGCTGCGCCACCCAGACACAGGCCCACCATGAGCTGCGGATGTGAGGGGACGCAGCTGATGGACGGCAAAGACTCAACTGCCAGGAGCCCTCATTAAGGACTCCCGTGCTGCCTGCTGCTCGGAAAGGGGTCTTTCCTCTCAACTCCAGCAGTCTCTTCTTCCTTTCCAGGGACCTGCGGGATGGGGTCCTCAGCAGCATCTCAGCCAGCACCCACAGGAACCTGCCCGCTGCAGGCAGACCTCCTCAGCTGTGCGGACTTCCTGAGCCGCCCCTCACGGTCCCCCGTCACTCACATATCAAGTGCACAAAACATTGCAGGGGAGATTTTGACACCTTGCCAAGCTCTGAACGACACAGCCAGGGAAGATGAAGTAATCCAGGATTTCCCTGGGAACTGGGGTTTGTGGCTTTCATTTTTGTTTTTCCTCTTTTGTCTGGAAACCGGGCTTTGTGTCAGTGCAAAGGCGTGTTGACAGAAGGCCAATGACCAGCAGAGTGTAGTCTCCAGTTGGGGGTCAGTGATGAGGGGGTGCCCGTGTTGGCTTTCACAGAGACTTCAGGATGCTCTGAGAGTGGGTCCTGGAGGCATCATGCACATCAATGTGGAGGAGCAGACCCAGCACCCAGCTGTCTGATGTTCACCTCTGCCACTTACCAGGCGCCCAGTCTGAGAGGACAGGCATCGGGCATGGGGGAGGGACTGAGTTCTGTGGGTTTCTCTTCTCACAGTGTCTACTAACAACCAATGCTTGCTAATGTAAATAATCGTAAATTATTGAGAGTCCTAATTCTTTTACACAGTCTGTTTTTTAACCTATTTTAATTAAATAAACCATACTATTCTTCCTAAGTATATATTTAAGGTATCTGTACTTACAGGTATTTTTTTTTTATTCCCCACCCAGGGCGGGGCCGGACACCTCCCACAGCTGCCTCCGTGCTGACCCTGAGCCCTCTTGTTGCGTTGTGTTTTTTAGGAAATGTGTTGCGTCCTCACCCTAATGGTTTGTCCAGATGGACAAATGTGCAGGCATTGTTTTCTGAGGCAGGGTTTTCCCCTTGTCCAGTTTCCTCTCTGACAGCCACAGGAACCCTCTCTGACCAGCTGCAGAGTGTTTGGAACGTCCACGGATTTGGCATTGCCTTTCTGCCTCCCAGCTGTGTCCAGTTAGTGCGTTGTATTTTCAAACAGGGTGTGCAGTGACTGACTGGAGTTGACCAGTTGGCTTTCTTCTCTTGAAGACTAGTTTTGTTTTATACAAAGACAGGCCTTCTTGTCTCAATCAATCGACGGGTTTTGTTAATGACCATCTGACTCATGGGCCACAGCCGTGCCTCTCCCCTCTGGTCAGCCTCTGTGATGGCCACTTCTGCAGCTGCATCACCTGATCAGACCGTTTCTCCATCGAGACCCATGGCTGTGCCCTCAACCCCACTCTCCACTCGGGCAGCTCCATTGTTACCTGTCCGTGCACAGTTGTTAAGTGCCATCAAGTCAGTTCCAACTCGAGTGACCCTGCATAGGGTTTCTAAAGTGCAGCTGGTGGGAACTGCTGACCTTGTAGTTAGCATTCCTGTGCTTATCCTGCCACTCCACACCAAAAGCCCTCAGAGCACAATATGGTGCCTCAGGTATATCTGACTGTTTGGTTCTAAACACATTTGTTTTGGAAAAAGGGGACCGTCTAGGTCCTTTTGTCATGATCCCGCATCTAAAGGAGACAGATAACAGCTTTGTTTAGTATAAGAAAAGCGGGGTGAGTGCTCATGCGCAGTGATATGGTAACCGGTGCTCAGCCTCAGCGCTGGGGCTTCTTCTGGCTTCTTCGCCGGTTTCACCGCGAAGTGTGCGCTTGCTCAGTTTTCCTTCAAAGCTAGAAATCTGACTTTATACGAAATACCCCAGTTTTTTAGGTGTTGGCAAAAAACAATGGCAAAACAAAAATAGCAATAACAAGAAACTTATCCAAGTAAAGGAGTCATGAGTTTCCCACCTCGACTCTAAACAGTGGGTTCAGAGAGTCAACACCAGACTTCACTCTTGCTCCAGAGACTGCTTGGCAAGAGTCTGTCCGTCACCTTGGCTTGCCCTGGGCTCTGGCCCCTCATGCTGCACTGGGGGCTTCTGGCAGAGGTGGCCAGGGCGCCCACACTTACTGCTGATACCTGTAAGGTAACTACTGTCTGGAAGCCATTTACAACTAGATACGCTCCAGAGAAGGTGCAATTTGACATTTTCTTTTGCTATTTGAATCATTTAAAGTTGTTCAGTTTCCTATTTCAAAGGAACATTCAGCAAATGTTTAAGCTGAGGAGTCCTCTCTGGTTTGTAAGTAAGTGCTAGATTTCATGCATGAGTCTTGTTTAAAGTGAGAAAGGCCAATCTCAGAGCTGGCCCATGCTCTCGGTGTGCCCACATCCCCGGAGTGCAGGCGGCAGACTGGAGCGCATTCACAAGGCCTGCGGGTCTCAAGGATGTTACCCTTACCAGAGTGCTGGGGCGCTGGCTCAGGAATGACTCACTCAGTCTTCTAGCTGGAGGTGGAATACCTCCTTGGTCTTCCATTAAGAGGGCCTTCTGTTCAATTGCATGCACTTTTATTGCAGCTGAACTTTCTTTCCATATTGGCTGTGCTAGCATAAGTCCTGCAGGACAATAGTGTAATTCTACTAATGCTGTGGACCACCAGACCTACTGAAGGCTGCCCCAGGATCTCTTTTATCCCCAGCTGGTGTGGCGCTGCTGTAGTCTGGACTACTACTGTTTGAGCCTGTCGTTGCAGACACTTTGTTAATCCATCTCGTTGAGGGTCTTCCTGTTTTTGCTGACATTTTACCAAAATGATGTCCTTTCCAGGGACTGGCCCCTCCTAATAAACATGTTCAAAGTATAAGAGACATAGTCTGGGGCTTCTAGGAGAAATCGGACAGTACTTCTCCCAAGACAAATTTGTTTATTCTTCTGGGAGTCCATAATACATTCAGTATTCTCCACTAAAATCATAATTCAAATTCATACATTCTTCCTTAGTCATTGTCCAGCTTTCACACGCCTATGAGGTGATTGAAAATCCCATGGCTTGAATCAGATACACCTTAGTCCTCAAAGTGATACCTTGGCTCTTAAACACTTCAAAGAGGTCTTTTGCAGTAAATTTTCCCAATGCAATGAGTTATTTGATTTCTTGACTGCAACTTCCAAGAGCATTGATTGTGGATCCAGTAAAGTGAAATCTTTGATCACTTCGATCTTTTCTCCATTTATCATGATACATATTGTTGTTGTTATGTGCCTGGACACGGGACTGACTCATAGCGCCCTGTAGAGGGTTTCTGAGGCTGTAAATCTTTACAGAAGCAGAAAGCCTTATCAGTCTCCCATGGAACAGCTGGTAGTTTCAAACTGCTGACTGTGATACATCTTGTTATGTGCCGTGGAATCGGTTCCAATACATAGCAACCCTGCACAGGATTTCCGAGGCTGTAAATCTTTATGGGAGCAGAAAGCCTCATCTTTCTCCCACGGAATGGCTGGTAGTTTTGAACTGCTGACCCTGAGGTTAACAACCCAGTTCGTTACCACTATGCTATCAGAGCTCCTTAGATACATCTTGTTGTTGTTGTTGTTAAGTGCCATCGAGTTGGTTCCAACTCATAGCGACCCTGTATAGGATTTTCAAGCTGGTGAGCTTGAACCACTGACCTTGCAGTTCAAACAGCTTTGCAGTCTGGCACATTAACTGACAGTGCTGCTTAATTTGATTAGACTTTGGAGCAAAACATTCTAATGCCTATGATTTTCTCCTGTCTATTGCAGGAGTCGGGGTAAAGATACGGGTAGTGGATGGGGAATGGTAAAGGGTAGTAAATTCACCTGCCTGTAGTCTTATAGATTGCATGTCTCTTCTGTGGACACACACGTATGAGAATGTTCCAAGGCAGATATCTAAACACCATCATTCCTGCCAATTCATTTGTTTAAATGGAATCAACTGACCCAGAAACCAGAACACTTCAAAACCATGATGCCAGGGGATCCACAAGTAAGACAAATTGGATAAAAGTTTAAAGTTGCTCCATGAATATAGAAATTTGAATATAGGGGTTAATTAGGTTCAGAGCTGTGAGAAACATCACTTGGAGTTTCACAGATGGCATTTTTACACCACAAAAGTCAATAAGCAGTATGAAGAAATGACTACATTACATTTTTCACATTTCTCTGTGAAAAAAGTGAAGACTCATCAGAAACAGGTGAGTCCATTGGAAAGCCCTAAACATACACAGCAGGCATGGCCTCACCCTACAACACCCCAGCTGTCCCCACCTCCAGCACCAGAGATGCCATGCTGACAGGCTTTCTCAGACAGATGTTCAGATGAGGGTGGAAGGGAGGATGTAGTTCCTCAGCCCAAACTATCCTTGGGGAAAATTTCTCCAGGAGGAGAAATTTTTCTTCAGGGCTTTCCAATACAGGTAGAAGGATATAGCCACGTGTTTTCAACCCCTAATCAATGTCCTCTTGGATGGAAAAAGTCTTATTTATAGGGGTGTGCTCATTATCAAGTCACCTTCCCTACTTAGGGATTACCAGTGTATTGGGTAACCCTCCAGATGTGGTCTACTTACATGGAAAAGTATATGAATATGTGGATTTTTAACACAGCATACCCTTTTATGCACCTGGATTTGTTTATGGATTTAACTGGAGATTGTGTTACATGTTTTCATAAAGCTAGCTCATGATTTCTACCTACATGCATGTCTTTAGCAAGTGTACTTTCCTATTTTACTTTGATTTCCCCATAAGACTTCCTATGCTTTCTTTTCTTTTTAAATTTCATTTTTTAAAAATAAGTAAGCCATTCATGTGTCTCAAATTATCATTTATCCATCCACTCCCCTAAGCATTTAAGAAATTAAGAGCA